AGGAGCCATGGGGTCAGCCACAAGCCGCCATCAATCATGAGGATTACAGATGCCAAAAAGAGTAATAAAGTCACCACGGGGATAAGCACCTCTGTCTCTGCCTGCCTGTAGAGATCAAAGATCACAACCCTGCCCTCGCTCACAGACTCCTGCCACCGGACAATCAAAGACTCTCCCGCGGCGCTCTGACGCCCCCTTGTGAACAATGGACACTATCACACCCGGGACGGACAATTGCGAACCGGTACCCCTGGGTCCAGTACTCCAATAATCTGCATTGTGCCCCATATGTGTGTATCAATGTCAAAGTAATGAAATACGGTGTGTGTTTGTACATGTCTTATGATTATTAGCATCAATCCTGTGTGTTTCCTTTACAAACTGTCTGTTGTAAAAGGGGTCTGTCCACAGAGGGCAGGGGCGGCATGGACACGCCCCCTGGGAAGCCTATATGAGCACCCACACGCCATTGTTCTGTCTCTTGTTTTCCCCGAATCCACTATAACAACCACCCGTGGGTACGTGTTCCCTACACGGCCTGCGCTCGCAACCTCCCTCTCAGCCCTGCGGCCACGCAAGTACGCGCCTCCAGCAACGACTGTGCCGTCCGCCCCGAGGCCTCCCGCTTTCACGCAAGCCTCCTTTCTGGTTGGAATCTACGAACTGTTCATCACCAGCCTCTTTCCTTGGCTCGCGTGCACCAGCAGCTGGACCAAACTAGCAGGCTTCATAACTCCCGCCTGCCCGGACAAAGAAACCACGTGGGCTGTTTCCCAACCCAAAGCCCTTCTCCATCCTCTACGCTCCTCCAAAGTAAGACTGTTCCTTGTTCAGTGTTCAATTTGAATGAAATGTGTACAGCTCCTACTCAAATGTGACCAGAAATCCTTTTTCGTTATGCTTCATCCCACTTTGTAATCAATAAATCCCTTTTCTTTAACTCAATCCTATCAGAGTCGTGTTGTTAAGATCTCGGACTATCACTGGCGGATAAAACGTATTCTACACCCTTAGATTATAGATTGATATCGAGGCAAAGATTTGGTTGGTGTCTATGTGCAGATTTCTAACTCTGCTGGTGCCCAAAATAAATAACATAGACCTGTTGGTGGAACGGCGAGCTTCCGCTCCGGAGACTAGCCGCTCCACACTACCAAATTCATACTAATAAGTAATTATAATCAGCTAATATAAGTAGTCACCCTACACAACATACCAAAACACGCATGAAAAGCAAGATTTGGACAACGATTACCATATTCACACTCTGATTTTTATTAATATTTATGAATTCATTCATTCATTCATGAATTCTTTATTTATTTACTTCTACAATTCAAGAGAGAGTTTTGCAAATTTGTTCAAAGGAAACGCAGCTGAATATAGCATATATTTATTTTTACATAAACATGACCAAACAAACGTGCCACAGGCCTTTTGAGGCTTCCTAACATTCTTTTTGGCCGACTTCCATGCTGACCTGTAGCAAAAACAGGTCGTGAGACAGGCAGTTTCTGAATATTTATAGGCGTTACTTTCATAGATACGCTAGTTTTGAGCGTGGCATTTATCAAGAGCCGCAGGTGCGTACTCACACGTTCATAAATGCCGCGTTGACTCGTGTGTATTTGGAATATACACCCAAAATATACACCCTTTTCTGCACAACTTTCATAAATGAGGGCCACTGGCTGTACTCTCACACAGGGTGTACTCTCTCATGGTTTACTCTCACAGGGTGTACTCTCTCACAGGGTCTACTCTCACACAGGGTGTACTCTCTCACAGGGTGTACTCTCTCACAGGGTGTACTCTCACAGGGTTCACTACAACCATGCTATTTTCAAGAACCGAGAATATAAGACTTTTTTTTAGTATATGTACATAATTCCACATGAGTTAATTCATAAGTTTGATGCCTTCAGTGTCAATCTACAATGTGAAAAGCATGAAAATAAAAAACTCTGAATGACAAGGTGTGTCCAAACTTTTGGTTTACTAAAGGTATATATATACTTTTATATTATATATTAAATATATATTATATATATTTATATACATATATATATGATCTGATCTGCATATACTGTATATATATATATATATATTTCTTATATATCAATAGATTTTCAGAGGTTGTTCCAGGGATCCGCTGTAATCACTCCTCTAGCTTCGGGGTCACTGCCCCGAGTGCACCGATCACCACGGGCACTACTGTCACCTTTACCCTCCAGGCCCTCTCCAGCTCCTCTTTGACCCCTTGGTATTTCTCAAGCATTTCGTGTTCTTTTTTCCTGATGTTGCCATTGCTTGGAATTGCCACGTCCACCACCACGGCTTTCTTCTGCCCACCACCACAATGTCAGGTTGGTTCGCTATTACCATTCGGTCGGTCTGTATCTGGAAGTCCCACAGGATCTTTGCACTCTCATTCTCCACGACCTTTGGAGGAGTTTCCCACTTAGACCTTGGGGTTTCCAGCCCATACTCTGCATAGATGTTTCTGTACACTATGCCAGCCACTTGGTTATGGCGTTCCATGTAGGCCTTCCCTGCCAGCATCTTGCACCCTGCAGTTATGTGTTGGATCGTCTCAGGTGCCTCTTTGCACAACCAACACCGTGGGTCTTGTCTGGTGTGGTATATCTGGGCCTCTATCGCTCTGGTGCTCAGGGCCTGTTCCTGTGCAGCCATGATGAGTGCCTCTGTCCTGTCCATAGACTGTAAATATTAACGTACGTAGTCACGCCTATCTCCACCGTTCAAAAAATTTGCTCTACTGGAGCTATCCATAATGGCCACGAGTGGTCCCGCCCACAAGAAAATTGTGAAAAACGCATCTGCGCATGTTAGCATTGGCTAATTCTTATTCCGGGTCCACCCCCATCGGCCCGGGTGGTATTGCAAGCATGTCAGCGCCGGGACCCGCCCCCACTGGTCCTGTCCTGTAGGCCAGCCCTTTCTAGCCATTGGTAAGACTTCTTGACATCAGCCACTTCGCTATGCTCCGGTGGTACATGCCGTGTAGGGGCTCGTCCTCCCATGATGGGCTCTCCTCCAGCACCTCCTCATCTCGCCACTGCCTGAGACGTTCACTGAGTACATCATCCGTTTTGGCCTTCTCCATGATGTAGTCATGGAGTTTGGATGTTTCGTCCTGGACAGTGGCTCTCACATTCATTAGTCCGCGGCCTCCTTCTTTACAGCTTACATACACTCTCAGGGTGCTGGATTTGTGATTTAGGGCTATAAAAGAATAAATTGTATTGTATTGTATTGTATTTGGGATGGAACCCACCATGCATGGTGAGGAGCTTTCGAGTTTTAACATCCGTGGTCTGAATCTCTTCCTTTGGCCACCTGATTATTCCTGCAGGGTATCTGATCACTGGCAGGGCGTAGCTGTTAATTGCCCGGGCCTTGTTCTTGCCATTGAGCCGGCTTCTTAGGACCTGCCTTACTCGCTGGAGGTATTTGGCAGTTTTCCTCGCTTTCCTCGTTGCCTGTTCGAGGTTGCCATTTGCCTGTGGTATACCGAGGTACTTGTAACTATCCTCAACGTCTGCTATTGTTCCATCTGGGAGTGAGATCCTTTCTGTGTAGGGCTGGGCGATATGGCAAAAAAGTAAAATCTCGATTTTATTTCCTGCTTTGGATGATTTCGATTTTAAATTGATTTTCATAAAAGTTTGCCCTTAAAAATATGTTTTGATCTTTCCGCTCAATAATCAAGTTTCAAAACCATTTTTATTTTGTTTCCCCCAAAAGTATTTTATAAGTCTTGTACAGACTGTGCTGACATTGCAAGTATAATTTATGTGCTGCTGGAACTCTCAGAATATCCTTCATTCGATTTCTCGATTTTCACATTTTTCACAAATTTGATTATTTCAAAAGCCGATTAATTGCCTAAATTCGATTTATTGCCCAGCCCTACTTCAGTGTGGACTACCTTGCCTCTCCGAGTCATCATCCTGCTACATTTCTCGAGTCCGAATGACATCCATTCAGACTCGAGAAATATATATATAAAAAATTTAAAAAATCTCGCCTTTCACCCTCCGCGGGCGGTTATCCCTCTCTAAGCTTGGGTCTTCTACCAGAGGCCTGGGAGCTTGAGGGTTCTGCGCAGTATCTTTGCTGTTCCTAGTGTGGCAGGTGTAGGTGTGGTCATGGGTGTGGCTGGTTGCCGTTTACTTTATATTTAGGTTTTGCTTATTTTAGTTTATGTAGAGATACTTTGTTGATAGCTGGGGTGACAGGGCTCACTTTAAGTGGTGGCCTTGTTTGTAGTTTTGGTGGAGGTGGCACATGTATGTTTATGGTGATTTCTGTTGTGAGGATGGATTTCTGTTTACTTTTGTGTTTGCTTTTCATATAGACTGCCCCTCACCCCAGCTTCAAGTTTCACTGTTTTAGTTCAATAGTCCCATTTGCCGTTTTTAATATATTTATGTAATGTAAATAAAAGCTGCCATAGGGCTGTTGGACCCACACTGACTGTCTGGCTTTGTTATTGAAGCTCACCTGCATTCTACAACACTACAGTGTTACACTAGCACTGCACATTTCTGGACCGAGATGTCCACGGTTGTTTCAGGGATCCGCTGTAACCACTCTTCTAGCATCGGGGTCACTGCCCCGAGTGCACCGATCACCACGGGCACTACTGTCACCTTTACCCTCCAGGCCCTCTCCAGCTCTGCTCTGAGACCTTGGTATTTCTCAAGCTTTTCGTCTTCTTTTTTCCGGATGTTACCATCGCTTGGAATTGCCACGTCCCCCACCACTGCTTTCTTCTGCCCTTTGTCTACCACCACAATGTCAGGTTGGTTCGCCATTACCATTCGGTCGGTCTGTATCTGGAAGTCCCACAGGATCTTCGCACGCTCATTCTCCACATACAGTATAAACCTTGGAGAACTGGGCTTTACTGACATTACTGTCCCCCCCCCCCACACACACACACACACCTCTTCATCAGCCACGCTCACACACACCTCTTCATCAGCCATGCCCACACACACACGCCTCTTCCTCCCAGCGTAACGCAGCAGAGAGGTGAGCGCGCGGAGGCCAAAGTCGTAGTGGTCCTGTTTGGAGAGCTGCTGAGAGGCCAGAGAATACAGCGTGAACACCTTCACTGCCAGGAGCTGGATGAAGCGGAAGAAGAGGACAGAGGTAAACATCAACAGGACCATCAGCTGCGGCTCTGACAGGACTGTAACAAACACGTACCTTACAGTTGTTAAAGCCTTCTCCAAACAAGATGATCTCAGCAATCAGAGTAGAGTCAGGAACCACCATCGAGATGGGTCTGAACATAGACTTCAGGTTCTCTGGAAGCTCAGTGCGGCCAGCATACCCTGAACACAGTGATACACCATGGGATCTAAACACAAAGATATACCTTGGGATCTGAACACAGTAATATACCATGGGATCTAAACACAGAGATATACCATGGGATCTGAACACAGTAATATACCATGGGCTCTAAACACAGTAATATACCATGGGATCTGAACACAGTAATATACCATGGGATCTGAACACACAATGGGGGTCTGAACACACCATGGGGATCTGAAAATTTCAGGTTCTCTGGGAGCTCAGTGTATCCTGAACATTACTTTCCACAAACGGTTAGATTCAATGAGCTTAAAGTAAAGTACAGTACAGTAGAGTACAGTACAGTAGAGTAGAGTAGACTAGGGTAGGGTAGATTAGAGTACAGTAGAGTAGATAACAGTAGAGTAGAGCACAGCAGCAGTATAGTAGAGTAAAGTACAGTACAGTACAGCAGAGTAGAGCAGTAGAGCACAGTAGAGCACAGTAGAACACAGTACAGTAGAGTACAGTAGAGCACAGTAGAGTAGATTAGAGTAGAGTAGTGTTGAGTAGAGTAGAGCAGTAGAGTACAGTAGAGTAGAGCAGTAGAGTATAGTAGAGCACAGCAGAGTAGAGTAGAGTAGAGCATAGTAGAGTAGAGTAGAGTAAAGTAGGGTACAATAGAGTAGAGTACAGTACAGTAGAGTAGAGCAGTAGAGTACAGTAGAGTAGAGTAGAGTAGAGTAGAGCAGTAGAGCACAATAGAGTAGAGTAGAGTAGAGCAGTAGAGCATAGTAGAGTAGTGTAGAGTAGAGTAGGGTACAATAGAGAAGAGTACAGTAGAGTAGAGTACAGTACAGTAGAGTGGAGTACAGTAGCGTAGAGCAGTAGAGTACAGTAGAGTAGAGCAGTAGAGCACAGTAGAGTAGAGTAGAGCATAGTAGAGTAGTGTAGAGTAGTGTAGAGTAAAGTAGGGTACAATAGAGTAGAGTACAGTAGAGTAGAGTACATTACAGTACAGTAGAGTGGAGTACAGTAGTGTAGAGCAGTAGAGTACAGTAGAGTACCGTACAGTACAGTAGAATAAGGCAGTAGAGTACCGTACAGTACAGTAGAATAAGGCAGTAGAGTACAGTAGAGTAGCGTAGAGTAGAGCACAGTAGAGTAGAGCACAGTAGAGTAGAGTACAATAGAGCACAGTACAGTCGAGTAGAGTACAGTACAGTACAGTACAGTAGAGCAGAGCATGTGTGAAGGCCTGTGTACCAGGGTTCATAGTGATGAAGATCCCACAGGTGGCCTCCAGCCTGATATCCTGTCCCTGGAACAGGAAGTGTGTGAGTCCAGCCGACAGAGCAGATAGGATGCACAGGATCTGCTGAGCCACCACCGACAGCACCTCGATGTTGATGCGGTTGAACTCATCGAAACAGCCCCACGCTCCGGTCTGTCAAAGCGGTTTAAACTTACTATTCTGAGAGTTACACACAAGTATAATAACCTGTGCTGATCCTGTAGGAGAGCTGCAGGTGTCCTGAATAAACACACACACGCACGCGCAGAAACACACACACACACACACACACTCTGTGACCCTACACCTCACCTGCGCCAGGCCGGAGTACATGCGTCCCATAGATTTGTAGTCCAGTCCCTCAGAGCAGTTGACTACAATGACGTACTGACCCAGAGCTTTGCCAAGGTCTTTGGTGGTTTCTGTCTTCCCTGTGCCCGCAGGGCCTTTGGGAGACCCCCCACGGTGCAGGTGCAGAGCGTTGGTCAGAGTCATGTAGCACCTGTGGACAAAAAGGATGATTCTACAGCCTCAGTCCTGGGTCTACAGCCTCAGTCCTGGGTCTACTTTCTATTTTAATGAGAAACCTGTCAGTGAGTGGAGTGATCACAAGACGTCCAGAGTTCCCCAGATATTCATATCCGTATCTGAAGGATGTGTTTGTCTGTCGGATTATACATTCCTCCTGGAGAGAGAACAGTACCAAAGACACAAGTTAAATACTATTGTAAATGTACTGTAAAACTAGCTGTTGAGTGTTCTGAAATGAGGGGCGCCAGGTTGGTACCTTTTCCCAGTAGAGCCGGAGCTGACACAGCCACAGGAAGGCATTCACATCGTTGCAGCCGGCTTTGGCCAGTTTTTCTATCACGTCTCGAGCGTGCACTTCTATGGTCACCAGGGCGACCACTTTCAGACGCAAGACTTTGGACAGGTCCTTCCGGATCAGCTCTGAGTAGCTCTCCAGCATCGCCACCTGGACAGGACAACATACATGGACTTATCAATTTGAAAGCTTTCGCAACTGTCGGACAATTATTTCTAAATAGTTAATATTTCGCTGCTCAGACATCGCTGTCTGAGGAGCTTAGTCCACAACCAGCTAAAACGCTGTTGTTTTTGAGAAAGTGAGGGGAGCCCGTCCTGGAGTGCGCTCATCGATATTGTAGGCTGTGAAGTGGGAGGTGCCAGGGGGGTATTTAACGTGTGCTTGTCAGCCCCAGGGCAGCCGTGGCTTGGTACACAGAAGGTATCGCTGACTGCAGCAGTGAGAGTCAGGGTCAAGGAAAGAGAAGTAGCGCATTTATCAGTGGTGTACATTATTGTTGCAAAAATCCTTTTGTCCTTAACACTTTTCCACCTGAGAGCTCTTCAGTAAAACTCTAAAACCACCGAGCTGTGAATGTTTGGACAAGACCCCAGATACATTTTACTTATATCTGCAGCACAATGTGACTTCACCTGTTTCTTCTTCATGGACATCAGCGCCGACCTGTTGCCTCGTTCTTTCCCAATGACAAGAGCTCGAGTGACATCAGTGGTCCACTGGATCTGACTCGAGGTGATGAGCATCTGTGACATCAAACCATATTAGTGGTTCAACTTCAAAACAGCCTCAGTCCTGGGTCTACAGCCTTAAGCCTAGTGTATACTCGTGCGGCGCGGAGCTTACGGAGGTGACGTGACGTCACTTGCGCAACGCGTTGGTCACCGCAAGGCCCTTACGTTGCCTGCCCTGCAGCATCGAAATTTTCTAACTACGTAAGGGTCACCGCAAGGAAGCTCCGCTGTGATTGGTCCGTGTGTGTGTATTGGAAGGAAGCACGGCTGCAGCAGGGACAATGGACGAGGCACTATGGAGCAGAGTGCTTCACGCTTCGGAGGAAAAGCAGTTTGGGCTCAGAGCCTGATATACAGGAGACTGGGGACTATCTAACATATATATAACTTATAAACTGTGCAGTCGTTTGTTTTGCACTGTTCCTGTCTTGTTTGAATCGTAGCTGCGTTTGTTGCTTTCCTCCTGCACTCGTAAATCATTCATGTTTGTCTCAGATATTTACCACTATTATTGGTTTGCTGTTTGTGCTTTAAACTATTTAATAATAACTATGTTTCCAACAAGAACTGTGTCTTTATTCACAGCATCACAGATGAAATGACTTACAGTGCCTTGCGAAAGTATTCTTTAAACATTTCAACAATATACCTTTCAACATTTTGCCACATTTCAGGCTTCAAACATAAAGATATAAAATTTCATTTTTTTTGTCATGAATCAACAACAAGTGGGACACAATCGTGAAGTGGAACGAAATTTATTGGATAATTTAAACTTTTTTTATAAATAAAAAACTAAAAAGTGGGGCGTGCAATATTATTCGGCCCCTTTACTTTCAGTGCAACAAACTCACTCCAGAAGTTCAGTGAGGATCTTTGAATGATCCAATGTTGTCCTAAATGACTGATGATGATAAATAGAATGCACCTGTGTGTAATCAAGTCTCCGTATAAATGCACCTGCTCTTTGATAGTCTCAGGGTTCTGTTTAAAGCGCAGAGAGAACCATGAAGACAAAGGAACACACCAGGCAGGTCCCAGATACTGTTGTAGAGAAGTTTAAAGCCGGATTTGGATACAAAAAGATTTCCCAAGCTTTAAACATCTCAAGGAGCACTGTGCAAGCAGTTATATTGAAATGGAAGGAGTATCAGACCACTGCAAATCTACCAAGACCTGGCCGTCCCTCCAAACATTCATCTCAAACAAGGAGAAGAGGTGGGAGAGTCTGTCCATAGGACAACAATCAGTCGTGCACTGCACAAATCTGGCCTTTATGGAAGAGTGGCAAGAAGAAAGCCATTTCTCAAAAAGTCTTGTTTAAAGTTTGCCACAAGCCACCTGGGAGACACACCAAACATGTGGAAGAAGGTGCTCTGGTCAGATGAAACCAAAATCGAACTTTTTGGCCACAATGCAAAACGATATGTTTGGCGTAAAAGCAACACAGCTCATCATGAACACACCATCCCCACTGTCAAACATGGTGGTGGCAGCATCATGGTTTGGGCCTGCTTTTCTTCAGCAGGGACAGGGAAGATGGCTAAAATTGATGGGAAGATGGATGGAGCCAAATACAGGACCATTCAGAAAGTCCACTCACACTGACCAGTACTTGGCCTTTGATTCAAATCATCCGCTACAACACAAACTCGGGGTCATTAGAACGCTTCAACACCGAGCCCACCAGGTCCCCACAAGCTCGGAGGGAAAGAACAGAGAAAGCAAACATGTTCAGAGAGCACTTTCCAGATGTGGCTACCCCAAGTGGTCTTTTACTAAAGCCCGAAGGACGAGAAAGGCCAGAGACACAGTCCAACAGACAGAAGAAAGTAGGAGGAGAGGGGTGTCCTTACCGTATGTGGCGGGAGTTTCAGAGAAACTACAAAGAATCTTTAGGCAACACAAAATCCCTGTGTATTTCAAACCTTTCAACACGTTAAGACAGAAATTAGTGCATCCCAAAGACAAAACACCCAGACACAAACAGAGCAATGTGGTGTATTCAATTAAATGTAGTGAAGTGGAGTGCACTGACCACTATATTGGAGAAACCAAACAAACTCTACAGAAACGACTTTACCAACATCGTAGAGAAAACTCTAGTGGGCCACAGTCGGCTGTTCATCTCCACCTCAAGGCCTCCAACCACACCAAAATTCTGGCTCGGGAGAAGAATTGGTTTGAGAGAGGGGTGAAAGAAGCCATTTTTGTGAGGAAACAAAAACCTTCTCTTAACAGAGGAGGAGGGTTAAGATTTGTTTTGCCTCGCATCTATGACGACATCCTAAAAACAACGCCCTAACTTGGGACAAGGTCAGTGACATGCTAATGAGTTAGGAGGGGTGAAACCTGCACTCCACTTGAGCATCCCAGCAGACAATAGGTCTGTGACATGCTAATGAGTTAGGGTCGTTAGCCTCAGCAGGGTCGTTAGACCTGCTCCCTTCTACATCAGACCGTAGATTGTTTATGAGTTAGTATCAGGATTAGGGTGTGGCTTACCACACCCATAGGTTATAAATCTCCAACGCGCGGTCCGAGAATTCATTCCCTGAAGAAGTCCCCAGGTTGAGGACGAAACGTCGGGAAAACTTGCTAAGAAGTACAGATGATGGGTGAGAAACCTTCCTTTGCTTTGACTAATCCCTGTACGACTGAGGGCTTACACAAACTTATTCTGGAAGAAAAACCTGTTGGAGTCTGCAAAAGACCTGAGACTGGGACGGAGATTTATCTTCCAACAGGACAATGATCCAAAACATAAAGCCAAATCTACAATGGAATGTTTCACAAATAGACGTATCCAGGTGTTAGAATGGCCAAGTCAAAGTCCAGACCTGAATCCAATCGATAATCTTTTCAATTTTTAATTTGTTAAAAAAGTTTAAATTATCCAATAAATTTCGTTCCACTTCACGATTGTGTCCCACTTGTTGTTGATTCATGACAAAAAATTAAAATTTTATATCTTTATGTTTGAAGCCTGAAATGTGGCGAAATGTTGAAAGGTTCAAGGGGGCCGAATACTTTCGCAAGGCACTGTATAAAATAATGAATCCATAAAACTATCACATAAACCTACAGTAGAAACACGTGTAATGAGCTCAAACAGCTTTGTTTGCTATTGTTGTTCTGAAGAGGACAAAGTAGCAGCGTAAATGGGACCGCTCCTGTGTGATCGCCCTCATGTGGTTTGTTGTGGGATTACAACATTCTCCTCAGAACTCCGTAAGGGGAACGCGCCAGTATAACATCAATTGTGGTTACGTAGGTCCACCGCAACTGCCACGCCGCGCAAGTATACACTAGGCTTCAGTCCTGACCAATTGTAAAGTTCTTTGTGACTCTGGTCTGTGAAAGGCACTATATAAATAACTGCTGTTGTGAATGAAACACATATGACACATGTCGCTGCTAGAGGTACCTGCCCAGGCCAGTCGTTGACCCACTTGTCCCTCTGGGTTAAGCTCCTCTTCAGAGCCAGGAGGCAGTTGGCCAGACTGTCCTTCAGAGAGGCCCTCATCATGGACTCAGTGTCACAGAGCCACAGCTGCACACACAACACACAACAGGCCTCAAACAACACACAACATACACAACCTTCAGTCACAGGACAGACCTCCACAGGCTTCTGCAGAGGCAGAGGATGGAGGAAACTGATGTACTCTCCATCAGCAGAGAACATGCCTAGAGCCTCCAGCCGGTTCAAGGCCTGAGGAAAACATCACAAGTCACATGTTTTTCACATATTCAGGAAATAAAATAACACAAAAATAGACAGATCAATAAATCCAGATGGTGATGATTTTATTTTGTAACTGTGCATGGTTATGGCCTTTGAAACTCAGACCTCAGAAGCTATATTACAGCACAGATTTCATAAACACATCTTGCCTTCTCCATCCTCAGGCTCTTGATGTTGTCAAAACACTTCTTGAGGTGCGGCTGCATGGCCTCTGGGTTTTGGGACTGTCCCAGAATCTCCAGCACATCGTCGTTGGAGAGGAAGTAAAACCTGGGGAAGACCTGCCTCTTGGTCTCCAGATACATGTCCAGGGCCTTCTGGATGTCCTCCAGACGAGCACACATCTCTGTCAGTGTCTCCAGGAGATCTGACAACAACAGCGTACATTAAGTACATTTAAAGGTGACATATTAAGAGTCAATGAAGAGGGAAAGCCACTACTTGAATATATAATCTTTTAAAAAAGATGATGAAGCTAGTTCTTTAATGATCAGATGGTAGACTCCTTGGTCAGAGGAGACACATGTCTCTGATCAGCTGATGGTACCAGATGTGTTCAGACTGACCACGTCACCGTGCTGTGGTCTTGTGTGAGCAGAGGTTAATGCCCCCTCGTCTCTGTTGATGGTCCGTGCGCCTCACTTCCTGATTTCAATTGCATTTATGTTCTTCTGTTCCAACTATAATTGGCTGCGTCCAGTAACAGCCGCATGTGGTAAAGTCACGTGCAGCTGTAGACAGTGCCTCGTGTGGCGTACCTGGGTAGTGCGTTCCCTGGAGAGCGTTGTTGTTCTCCTTCAGACGACACATAATCTGTTTCCAGGTCGAGCTGATGCTCTGGAACTCTGCACATTCTGAGGGAAGCTGCTCCCGGATGTCTTTGCCTTGGAAAATATTCTGTTTGGACAAACATCAGGTCACATGACACGTGTTTATAACAGTCACATGACACACGTGTCTATAACAGTCACATGACACACGTGTCTATAACAGTCACATGACACACGTGTCTATAACAGTCACATGACACACGTGTCTATAACAGTCACATGACACACGTGTCTATAACAGCCACATGACACACGTGTCTATAACAGTCACATGACACATGTGTCTATAACAGTCACATGACACACGTGTCTATAACAGCCACATGACACATGTGTCTATAACAGCCACATGACACATATATGTGCATGTGTGTTAAGGATGTATAATGTCCGGTTCGCCTGTCTGTACTTTCTGATAATGACTTCCTTTCTTTACATTATCCTTATATGTCCTCAGTCTTATCGGGCCACATCAAATACCTCCAGGTAAATCCACTGGCGCTGCACGGTCAGAATCATCTCTGTCACGTCCAGCACGTGGGTGAGGCTGCGCTGCCAGGAGTCCACCTCCTTCTCAAATGGTTTGACAAAACGAGACGCCTTCATGGTGGACAGCACCACCTGGTTGTCCTCCAGAGCTTGGAACACCTCCTCTGTTCCTCTGCAACCATTGGGAACAAGGTCTAAGCTTTAGAGAGATCTGTACAAACTGGGCTAAACCACTTTGTATTCTTTGAACCCTGTGGTGCAGACTGTGGTGCAGACTGTGATGCAGAGTGTGGTGCAGAGTGTGGTGCAGTGGTGCAGACTGTGGTATAGACTGTGGTGCAGAGTGTGGTGCAGTGGTGCAGACTGTGGTGTAGACTGTGGTGCAGAGTGTGGTACAGACTGTGGTGCAGAGTGTGGTGCAGACTGTGGTGCAGTGGTGCAGACTGTGGTGCAGAGTGTGGTGCAGAGTGTGGTGCAGAGTGTGGTGCAGATTGTGGTGCAGAGTGTGGTACAGACTGTGGTGTAGACTGTGGTGCAGAGTGTGGTACAGACTGTGGTGCAGAGTGTGGTGCAGACTGTGGTGCAATGGTGCAGACTGTGGTGCAGAGTGTGGTGCAGAGTGTGGTGCAGATTGTGGTGCAGACCATGGATGCATTTGTATTCTGTTAGAACTTCTCTGTTAGGACTCCTGTTTGTGGCCTTTATCTTATCTTAAAGTTGATCTCATCTAATCCTGATAATGTAGCAGGTTTGTAGCAGGTTTGTAGAAGGTTTGTAGCAGGTTTGCAGCAGGTTTGCAGCAGGTTTGTAGCAGGTTTGTAGAAGGTTTGTAGAAGGTTTGTAGCAGGTTTGCAGCAGGTTTGCAGCAGGTTTGTATACAGGAGCCACAGATGACGCTGCTGCTCTGGATCCTCTTACATCAGTCTGTAATGGCCGCCTTTGTATGGAGCGATGTCTAAGAAGGTCTCCTCCCAGGTCTTGGTGATGGTTTCAAGACTCTGTGTAGATGAAGTCAGTAAGAAGAAAACACACTCATGTCATATCCTAGAGGGAAACAGAACCTGCTCGATGGAGAGCTCTTTGGTGGCAGCTCCTGAAATTTCCCCGATCTTGTTGTCGAACTTATCGAAGCCCAAGTAGATGATCTTCTCCAGCGTGAAGTCAGGGCTGGTGTGGTCAAAGTCACACTGAACCTCCTCACACAGCTGCTTCCAGTGTCTTCAAACACAGCATAGATCATTTTCAGAGGAGAAAGTGTGTAAGACAACATCTATACTTTGACTTTTAGGCACAATGTCACAAGGACTAATGCTGCTGTTTGCTAAATGTATACAAATATATTGGAAAAATACAATACTCAGTCCTGGGTCTACAGCCTCAGTCCTGCTCACCTGTCTCTCATGGCAGGATTCTTGAGGTCAGAAATGAGCGGAATGATCTTCTTAAACTGTTCAATCTTCTTCTTGGAGAAGGTCACAATGTTCCAGTCCTTGTCCTGCAGAGAACCACACAGATGGTTAAACGTCCTACTCCAGTGAGAGGTGCAGACCTGACCTTCAGTTCTCGCTGCAGCTTGTGGAGCCTCTTGTACATGTCCTGAACAGTGCTCTCCATGTCCTCCATCTGCAGAGAGGAGAACTGACCTCCCTTCCACATGTCCCACTTGGCATTCCAGTCTTCTGTGATCTCCCACACCTGCTGCAGGTGATCTATGTCCTGGGAACACAAAGGAATCTCTCCTACTGTTTGGACCATGAGTCACACTGGGACCTGGTCTGTGACAGGGGTGATGTGTTCTAGAAGTAAGACACTAAAGTCAAGAGAGAGACCAGAGAGAGACCAGAGAGAGACCAGAGAGAGACCAGAGAGAGACCAGAGAGAGAGACCAGAGAGAGAGACCAGAGAGAGAGATTAGAGAGAGAGATCAGAGAGAAAGACCAGAGAGAGACCAGAGAGAGACCAGAGAGAGACCAGAGAGAGAGACCAGAGAGAGAGACCAGAGAGAGAGATCAGAGAGAGAGATCAGAGAGAAAGACCAGAGAGAGACCAGAGAGAGACCAGAGAGGGAGAACTCTGAACTAATCAGCACGATGCACACAACCACAGAGGTTTTTTCAGACTTTAAATAAAGGTAACTGTCATGTTAACCTAGTGATTATCTGATGTTTTTTCTCTGACCATGTGAGTGCAGTGAGGTACATCTGCAAACCTTTTCCAGTGCAATCACACTCTGAGATGGCGGCTGCTCAATGACGAAGAAGCCCAGTCCTTCTATAATGGAGCTCTCCTCCTGCTTCAGCGTGTCCAGCAGATGGCGCTGCTGCTGTATCTGCCGTAAAGCCTCCTCACAGCTCAGTGCACTGTCGAAGGGACCTGGGAGAGCAGCACAGACTCCTCATGTCTCTGGATGTACATGTCTGAGTTCATACATGTGTGAAACAAAAGGATTCAAAACAGGCTGTAACAGAAGGAATCGTGAGCAGAGCCTCTAGACTGTACACTGATCACAGATACAGCCACGATGGTCACTCTGGAGGAGCTGCAGACATCAACACCAGGGAGTCTGTACATGGGACTAATATCATAGACTACATAGATCTGGCCTTTATTTACAAGTGGTAAATAGAAAGTGTTGAAATAAAGCCACAAGGAGGAGACCAACGTTTAACTCCAAATGCAGAATGTTACGTTAAGCTCAAACCGCTCTCTGCTCTTCTGCCTCAGTGCACCGTCCCCAGAGTCAAAAATGGGGGTGGCAACATCATGTTAAGGGGCTGCTTTTTTTCAGCCAGGACAGTGAAGGTGGATGGAGAAGTATACAAGACAATATTGGAAGAAAAGCTGCTGGAGCTGAGGATTCCACACAGTATTTTCTGTGTAATTTTGCCTTCAGTGGTCTCTTATGTCTGTTTGTGATGTAAACATACAAAGTGCTGGGTGTATGTCTGTTTGTGATGTAAACATACAAAGTGCTGGGTGTATGTCTGTTTGTGATGTAAACATACAAAGTGCTGGGTGTATGTCTGTTTGTGATGTAAACATACAAAGTGCTGGGTGTATGTTCAGAGAGGTGCTGTGTGTTTGCACCTGTGCTGTTGAAGTCCTGCAGCGTGCTCTGGATCTTCTTCTTGAACTCCTCAGAAGTGTTCATCAGGCTGTTCTTGAACTTGTCCTTGTCCTTCTGCAGAGCGGCATCGCAGTCGATGATCACCTGCTGGAAGCTGATCCACTGCTCGTTCATGAGCTCACGCAGCTCCAGCACCTGTGGTTCAGAGGACTGTGTTTTCACTTCTGATTGACAGCACAGACGTGTGGTCTTACCTCCGGCTCCATCGACTCCTCGTACTTGTCCAACAGAGAAAACTGCTCGTGAATCACAGGGATCAGCTCCTCGGTGGTTGGCAGAGCGCTCTTCAGAGAATCCAAGAACTGTAGGCTCTCTCCCAGCTCTGCCAGGGTTTGGGGAGGACGCTGGAGTCTACAGAAGCACTACATATTTATTCTGGGTTTCATTCCAACGCAGTCTCCGTTATTAAGTATTCATTGATCATTTTCAAGGCTCTCAAAGCTCTTTACATCAAGGAACCACTCACTCATACACACACATCCACACATCAGTGTTTACAGATACTGGGACGAGGCGGGTGTCCTGCCCAAGGACACACCAACCTGTGGATCTGACCGCTCAACCAACAATGTTGAACCATCAACCTTTAGCTCAGAGGACACTCACTCCACCACCAAGAGAGAGACTAGGGAGAGGGAGTCCAGAGAGAGAGGTCCGAGAGAGACCAGAGAGAGTCCAGAGAGTACAGTCCTCCTGTGGGCTCTTCTGTACCTAGTGGTGTTGTGTTGCTGGTACGTGTGCAGCTGCTTGAGTCTGCTGCTGGCGATGTGGTAGAGGAGGCTGGTGAACTTGGTCTGCCACTCGTTACAGTGTTGCACCAGAGAGGACTTGAGAGGGAAACAGTCCAGGACGACGAAACGTACAGTTACCACCGTCTCCTCCTGCTGAATGATGCCTGCTTTCTCCTTGTAGCTGCAGAGGGACAAACACGTTCAGTTCAACACTCCAACAAAAGTGCTGCAAAGTCAATACTGTGCAGCACTTTGTTAATCATTATTACTACAGTGAGTCAGTACAAACCTGTTGATGTCTTTGTCGAAGGTTCCAGGGGGACTGTCTTGGCTGTAGTCCTGAATGTACTGATCCTTGTTGATTTCCCAGATCTCCCGGTACTTGTCCCATGTCTGTAAATAGTTCTGCAGGTGGCTTGCGTTGGCGCTCAGTCCTGCACTGATCGCTGCTTGTGTCTTCTTTATCGTTTCGTCTTGTTCTGAGGATTTCAGATAATTCAGCACATTCATATCATTGTGTCTTAGATTAGTATGGATAGGCAGGCGTAGAAATACAACCTAAAGTAAAACCACTGACATGGGTGTATCTAACCTATTTTTATGTGTATGGGTGTCTGTTGAGAGCTCTTGAGATTGAGAAGTTCCGGCAGTCGCTTGAACCTGGAAATGGCATCTATGAGGTGAGGTAGAATGGTCACAAGTTGGGCCAGTTTGACGAGAGTAGGAGAGAAATCGACCTGAAACACAACAGTATAAAACAGATGAAAGAGAAGGCGGTGCAACAGTGATGTAGAAGTGGAGCTGAAACCTTGGGAGGATTCTGGGAGCTCTCCTGGCTCAGAGTGACCAGGAGCTTGAACAGGGGGTTGGGTGTGCTCTTGTTGTCTCCGTTAATAGCCTTCGCCAACTTTTGGATGGAGTTTTTAATGTTGCTCCTCAGAGATTCTTCTACCAAGGTGTCCACTTTCTCTGCATAGGCTCGCCACTGATCCTGCACCTACAGAGCAGTGAAGAGGTCAGTACAACACAGACTTACTCTGGGCCAAATCACATGGAGTAATGTCGTACTGCAGGTCCGTCGTGGGTGAATATCTGGTACATATCAATCATAATTTGGACTATTTTCTGGTGAGCGGACTGGAGGATGTGCAGCTGTCTCTTTCTGTGTGCGCTCTGGTCATCCTCAAAGTCCAGGCTCCTGGAGAGAGAGAGACACACACACTGTATATATACATATATCCTGAATATACACTGCATATATACATACAGTAAGGCAAGGCAAGGCAAGGCAAGTTTATTTATATAGCACAATTCATACACAAGGCAATTCCAAGTGCTGAAAAAAATAAGAAAGCATTAAAATCATAAAAAGAACATTAAAAAGAAAGATAAAAATATAAAATCCCTCAGTTGTATGCACAGCTAAACAGAACTGTCTTTAACCTGGTTTTAAACATTGTCAGCGAGGAGGCCTGTCTCACATCTTCAGGAAGACTGTTCCAGATTTTAGCAGCATGAATCTGAAAAGCAGCCTCCCCATGTTTAGTTCCGACTCTGGGCACTAACAGGAGTCCAGTCCCTGTGCTCCTCAGAGTCCGGGCTGATTCGTATGGGACTAACATGTCACTAATATATTTTGGTGCGAGGCCATGGAGAGACTTGTACACAAGCAGAGCTGTTTTAAAATCTATTCTCTGAGCCACAGGAAGCCAGTGCAGAGACCTGGACTAATGTGGTCGTACTTCCTGGTTCTAGTCAGGACTCGAGCTGCTGCATTTTGAATGTACTGCAGCTGTTTTACAGCCTGTTTGGACAGACCTGTGAGCAGGCCATTGCAGTAGTCTAACCTACTGGAGACAAATGCATGGATAAGAATCTCCAAGTCTGCTTTAGACACTATGTTTTTGATCCTGGCAATGTCTTTTAGGTGGTAAAAAGCTGCTGATGTTACTGATTTGATTAAAATTTAAGTCTGAGTCCAGTATCACCAGAGGTGTGGACTCGAGTCATGTGACTTGGACTCGAGTCAGACTCGAGTCATGATTTTGATGACTTTAGACTCGACTTGACCAAATATAAAAAGACTTGCAACTCGACTTGGACTTTAACATCAATGACTCTGACTTTCACTTGGACTTGCGCCAATTGACTTGTAAAGACTTGCGTAACCCGGGCCATTTTTACCTTTCTCCGCATCTTTCTTTCTATCTATGCCGTCTCTGAAGAAACAAAGCCTCGCGGTAGTTGTAGCGCTCGCGAGAGAGTTCGAACGTGAGTTCCCCGCAGTTCGCGCAGCAACACTTCCCTAAACAAGCGGACTGCATTCACCGGTGGGTGTGTTGTCGTAGGGGAGCTGGAAATGAGCGAGCTGCAGGTATTTATCGCGACCTAACGTCATACTTTGTTCTACAAACCGTAATTGATATGCTTTCACTACAGGCGCCTCATACAATTGAATCGACGCAGTTGTCACACTCTGTGCCGTGTTTTAAAGAGGAACTGGTGAGTCAAACTAGCGCTAGCCTGCGCTGCTCTGTTGGCTCTTTCTTATATTTTTCTGTGTGGGCGCAGAGGCCTATTATTATGAGTATATTTTTGCTGTGCTCCTCCTGCTAAAGTTTGCATACATTAGATAGTTGTTTTGATTATGTGCACTAAGCTAGATTAATATTTGCACTATTGTTTATGGTGCATTGATATGAGAATCAGTGCTTTGACTGATTGAATTAATTTATATGAGACATTTTATTATGATATATTGGTAATTATGAGATATTGCTAATGCTGGTCCAGTTGATGGCGAGCTGCCCCAGGTCCAAAGCCTAGACCCCTCATACTACCCCTATTCTACAGTAGGACATTTGGAACAATAACCACTACGGACATTAAACTGATTATATAGATACAGGTCCTAGCCCAATACTCATATTCATATATGCTGCACTTGCTACTTCCCATTAAAAACCCCAAAGATAAAAAGTATGTTGACACGGACTGCTCTGATTTTATGTGTGGTCTGTGCATGTGTAACTGAGCCTGCATCTGGCACAACATCCAATTAGATCACGTAGATAGTTTTGATTTATCAGCAGACAACGACATGGAACAAACTGTTAGTCCATGGGTCAGAGACCAACGAGAATGCATCAGCAAAATGATTCCTAACATTATTTTGTTTGCCTACAAAAGTACGTGGAGACCAACAAGAAACAAATCGCGGTCAAAAAGACTCGAGAGGACTCGAAAGTCAAACCGTAGGACTCGGGACTGACTTGAGATTTGTTGGCCTTTGACTTGGACTCGACTCGGGACTTGCCTGTCTTGACTCGTGACTTGACTCGGGACTTGAGGGCAATGAATTGAGACTGACTTGTGACTTGCTAAACAATGACTTTGTCCCACCTCTGAGTATCACCCTTAGATATCTGACCTTGTTTGAAGGTTTTAGGGAGAGAGACTGTAGGTGACAGATGACGTTCTCTCTTTGTTTCTGGGGACCAAAGACAATCATTTCAGTTCTGTCTGCGTTTAGCTAAAGGAAGTTGTTTTGCATCCACTCACTGATCTGTTGGATACAGTGAAGGAGTGAGTCCACTGGTCCATGTTCTCCTGCAGTCAGTGAGACTGCAGGAGCAATCTCTACATGCTGACCTAACGGCAGCATGTTGAGATTGAACAGAAGAGGTCCCAGGATCGACCCCTGTGGTACTCTACAGGCCCGGCCATATGATCTGAGACACAGTTTCCAATCTCCACAAAGTACTTCCTGTCTTCAAGGTAAGACCTAAACCAACTTAGGGAGGTGCCAGCGACGCCAACCCAGTCCTCTAATCTCTGTAAGAGGATCTCATGGTCGACAGTGTCAAAGGCAGCACTCAGATCTAACAAGATTAAGATTGAGACTTTGCCTGCGTCAGTGTTCAGCCGGATATCGTTTGTAACCTTGACGAGAGCAGTCTCAGTGCTGTGGTGGGGTCTAAAGCCGGACTGAAACATATCAAATGAGTTGTTGATTATAAGAAATCTAGTAAGCTGTAGGTAGACAACTTTCTCAAGGACTTTCCCCATAAATGGCAGATTTGAGATGGGACGATAGTTGTTAAGTACCGTAGCATCCAGGCTGCTCTTTTTTTAGCAGGGGCCTGATGACTGCAGTTTTCAGGGCCTTTGGGAATATTCCAGAATGAAGGGACATGTTTACTATCTAATGATAGATGAGATAATCTCCAGCTCAAACTGGAGATTAATTCTTGGACAGTTTGATCATTTACAGGTGCAAAGTGACTTAGCTCAAAGAGCCTTTTTGGCTGTTGGAGACAATGGTATTTTTGATGCCTTGAATGAACCTTGTCATTGAAAAAAATAGCAAACTCATTGCATTTACGTTTGGAAGTTAGCTCTAATGGCATTTGAACAGGGGGGTTTGTTAATCTATTAACTGTTGCTGCAGCCTTCAATCATTTCAGAAAAATACCTTTCTCTCGTACTACGTAGCACCCGCTTAAACTCGAACAACTTCTCTTTGAAGATCTCGTAATCAACCTGGAGGTTGGACTTGCGCCACTTCCGCTCGGCCCTCCGGCACTTTCTCTTTTGTGCCCTGACCGAGTCTGCTTTAGCCCACAGCGCCTTCTGCTTATTTTTCACTATTTTAACCTTCACAGGGGCAACGGTATCCAGAACATTCAAAACACTAGAGGTGACAGAGTTAAACAGTTCATCTACAGTAGAACACGACGCATTCTCAAAGTTTATCATTGCCATAAATAGATCACTCGTATTTTCATTTATGCGCCTTCTTCGAACAGTTGCAGAGTCCACTGGTGGTTTGTTAGTGAAACACATGTCAAAAAAAACACAGAAATGATCCGAAAGAGCAACATCGACCCGGTTTACATTTGAAATATTCACCCCCTTAGTAACTAACAGATCTAGAGTGTGCCCTCTGCTGTGGGTGGGGCTACTCACGTGCTGAGTGAGACCAAAGGATTCAAGTACAGAACTCAGCTTATTTGCATTTCTGTCATCAACATTATCCACATGAATATTAAAATCACCTGTAATAACCAAACTATCAAAATCTGTGCATACAAGTGAAAGCAACTCTGTAAAATTATCAATAAAACTGTGACATGACTGCGGTGGCTTGTATAGGACAATGAAGAGTATTGGAGGAGATGGTTTTTGTTGTATTTTAAAAGACACATATTCAAATGACGAAAACTTCCCAAGAGACATTCTATGGGAGACAAAGTGGTCTCTAAAAATGGCAGCTATACCCTGTATACCCTGAATATACATTGTATATATCAGAGGTGTGGACTCGAGTCATGTGACTTGGACTCGAGTCAGACTCGAGTCATGATTTTGATGACTTTAGACTCGACTTGACCAAATATAAAAAGACTTGCAACTCGACTTGGACTTTAACATCAATGACTCTGACTTTCACTTGGACTTGCGCCAATTGACTTGTAAAGACTTGCGTAACCCGGGCCATTTTTACCTTTCTCCACATCTCTCTTTCTATCTATGCCGTCTCTGAAGAAACAAAGCCTCGCGGTAGTTGTAGCGCTCGCGAGAGAGTTCAAACGTGAGTTCCCCGCAGTTCGCGCAGCAACACTTCCCTAAACAAGCGCACTGCATTCACCGGTGGGTGTGTTGTCTAGGGGAGCTGGAAATGAGCGAGCTGCAGGTATTTACATGGGTTAAAGTTGAAAAAATTCCTGAGCCTGAACCATCTATATGAATCATAGAATGATCACTAATAAGCGTTTTTTATAAGCGCCTTTATACGCTCATACATATAATTTATATCTATTTATTGCCAACAACTGATGTTTATTATAAACATCAGTTGTTGCAATAAATACATCATCTGACTATTGAATTGTTACTTAAATGTAAAGCCTCACCTTGCCAAGACCTTTCTGCAAGTACCCCTAGTTTGGATTTGTGTGATAATGTAAAAAAAACAAAAAACATACCACATCACAGTAAGTGAATATACTATTTTCTTTTTTTTTAATTATTATTGATGTTATTACTAACATTTTATGTGTAAACTGTAAACTGATTAAACATCCAAACTAGACATCAGATATGACATACAAAAACTAAAAACACTGGATCAGGCAACAAGAACACTTCCAGATTCAACCTTAAATATATAAATAAACCTTAACTTTTAAATTCTAC